TTTCCATGGTTAGCATTTCTATTGGTAACTAAAGATATATTTAATACAAAGTTTCTGGTGTTAAGAATTTTCAATGATTTTTAAAAATCTTCTGTATACTTCTCCAACTCCACCCCTTAAAATATTATGAAAGAAGAGTGAAAGTTCAACTGGTTAAAAAAAAACTCCAATATTTGATAGAGTACTAATGATATCATCTTGCTTTATTTAAAGTCTTAGGAACAATATAAATCCAAAGAAACATCAAAGAAAATCTACCACCAAACACAAAAAGAAACTTAAAATTGATTGCTATCATAGTTCATTTTCTTCATCACCATTAACTGAACCTCCTTTTTGCTGAATAATCTGCATGTAATTTCACTCTCCCCACAGTGCTGGAGTTGGAAGAACGGGAGTTTTTATTGCTCTGGACCACTTAACACAACACATAAATGATCATGACTTTGTGGATATATACGGATTAGTAGCTGAGCTGAGAAGTGAAAGAATGTGCATGGTACAAAACCTGGTAAGATACCTAAGACTGCAAGCAGGGTCAGCTCTAGGATTTCTCTGTGGTAGGGTCTTAGCGGCAGTGATCTGGGTGGATGTGCACTTGAACTATATTTTGCACAGCAGACCACGATCTTTTCCTCCATTATAACCCTCCTGGGGTCAGGGCAGGGTCTTGGACGGCAGCTGATGGAGGTTATAGGAGAACCGAAGCCCACCTGCCCGTCATCCTTCACTCAGCACTGTTACTGACGACTAGTCCTAACTTGTTTGTGCGGACAGGTATAGAGATGATAATGTATCAAATGGGTTTGTCTTTAGCATTTTGCCAGTTTGGGAAGCTTAAGAACTGAATCAAATCAATGTCTTTTATAAACACACTAAAAGTTCTAATTAGGAAAAGTTTAAAATTAACTGTTACGAGGTTCTATATATTTCACTCGTCCATATTTATCCCTTTGCATATTAGTACTAATGGTTGTTACTGCATATTAACTGGAAGTTTTTTGTTTTGTTGTTTTTATTTGGAAGCAAAAATAGTTGTAAAGTATATATATTTTCATTGTTAGAAAAACCACACAGTATAATGGTAATTAAATTAAAAACCCTGTGTGTCTAGTGAGTTCCAAGTACTATACCAGAGCCTTTACATGCCTTATTTTAATTCTTTATTTGTAAGACAGGGCCAAGAAGACTAATCAACAGACTAGATATTACTGGTTCTGCTTTACACATAGGGAGGCAGATGTTCCAAGAATTTAAGTGATATTCTAAGGTTATACTATTAATCAGTGTCAGAGCCAAAATTCAAACCCAAGTTTGTCTAACTATAATATACAAGATTTTCCTATCATATCTTTGGATTGGTATTTTTATGCTATAAAATAGATTTTCTCACAGTAAATATATAGATCTGCTATCACAGTATTTTTCAGGGTACTTACTAGGAAAGGCAAGTAGCTTCACAGTTGTTAAAAGTGTGAGAAAACAGGCTCTCTGCTAATGTTAAGTTTGAGAAAGAATTTCTTAGAGCCTCTGCACAGAACCTGTAACGCCATGTCCTAAAGCATTAATGTTCTTAGGAAGATGCTTCTCTTGACCAGAGACATTCAAACTTTTTGGAATACATACTCCTTTCAGGAAAAATATTTGAGCATTCAACTCTAATACATGTATTTATATTTAAAGTGTAGATTGTCCAATTATGTAAATTGTAAGACATACACAAAATAAATTGAAAAACAGAAGACAAAGGTCAAATAGGCAATTCTGACAACCTGCAAAAATCCTCAACAAAATATTGGCAAATAGAATCTAACAGCATTAAAAAAAAAATACACCATGATCAAGTTGGGTTCATCTCAGGGACACAAGGATGGTTCAACATACGCAAATTAATCAACGTGATACACCACATTAACAAGAGAAAGGACAAAAATCACATGATCATCTCAATAGATGCAGGAAAAGCATTTGATAAAATTCAACACCCATTTAGGATAAAACTCTTACCAAAGTATATAGAGGGAACATATCTCAACGTAATAAAAGCTATTTATGTTAAACCCACAACCAGCATAATACTCAACAGTGAAAAACTCAAAGCCTTCCCATTATAATCTGGAACCCACTCTCATCACTTCTATTCAACATAGTCTTGGAAGTCCTAGCCACAGCAATCAGGCAAGACAAAGAAATAAAAGGGATCCAAACTGGAAGAGAAGAGGTCAAACTGTCACTATATGCAGGTGACATGATACTATACATAGAAAACCCTAAAAGCTCCACACAAAAATTACTAGAGCTGATAGAAGAATTCAGCAAAGTAGCAGGATACAAGATTAACACACAGAAATCAGTTGCATTTCTTTACACTAACAATGAAATAGCAGGAAAAGAAAGTAAAGAAACAATCCCTTTTAAAATCACATCTAAAACAATAAGATACTTGGGAATAAATCTGACCAAGGAAGTGAAAGACTTATACATGGAGAATTACAAAACATTAAGAAAATTAAAGATAACTTAAAGAAATGTTCTTGGATTGGAAGAATCAATATCGTTAAAATGGCCATAGTGCCCAAGGCAATCTACGGAGACTTAATGTGATCCCTAACAAATTACTCATGGTATTTTTCACAGAATTAGAGCAAATAATCCTAAAATTTATATGGAATCACAGAAGACCTAGAATTGCCAAAGCAATACTGAAGAAAAAGAATGAAGCTGGAGGAATAACCCTCCCAGACTTCAGACGATACTACAGAGCTACAGTAATTAAACAGCGTGGTATTGGCATAAAAACAGATATCCAGATCAATGGAACAGAACAGAGAGCCCAGAAATAATCCACAGACCTATGGTCAGTTAATCTTCGACAAAGGAGGCAAGAATATACAATGGAGTAAAGACAGTCTCTTCAGCAAGTGGTGCTGAGAAAACTAATAGTAGCATGTATATCAATGAAGTTAGAATAATCCTTCACACCATACATAAAAATAAACTCAAAATAGCTTAAAGAGTTAAAAGACAAGACATGCTAAACCTCCTAGAAGAAAACATAGGCAAAACATTCTGACATAAATCTTAGCAATGTTCTCCTAGGGCAGTCTATCCAGGCAATAGAAATAAAAGTAAAAATAAACAAATGGGATCTAATCAAACTTACAAGCTTTTGCACAGCGAAGGAAACCATAAGCAAAACAACATAAAAAAACGACATCCTACAGAATGGGAGAAAATATTTGCAAATTATTTGACTGACAAAGGTTTAATTTCCATAATATATAAACAGCTCATACAACTTAATAAAAACACCCAATCCAAAAATGGGCAAAAGACCTAAACAAGCAATTTTCCAATGAAGACATACAAATAGCCAATAGGCAAAAGAAAAAATGCTCAATATCACTAATTATCAGAGAAATGCAGATCAAAATTACAATGAGGGATCATCTCACACCAGTCAGAATGGCCATCATTTAAAAAGTCCACAAATGATAAATGCTGGAGAGGGTGTGGAGAAAAGGGAACCCTCCTGCACTGCTGGTGGGAATGTAGTTTGGTGCAGCCATTCTAGAAAAAGAGTATGGAGGTTCCTTAAAAACTAAAAATAGGCTTATCATATGATCCAGCAATCCCACTCCTGGGCATATATCTGGAGGGAACTCTAATTCAAAAAGATAAATGCACCCCAATGTTCACAGAGCACTATATACAATAGCCACGACATGGAAACAACCTAAATGTCCATCAGCAGATGATTGGATAAAGAAGCTGTGGTATAGTTATACAATGGAATACTACTCAGCCTTAAAAAAGAATAAAATAATGCCATGTGCAGCAACATGGGTGGACCTAGAGATCATCATTCTAAGTAAGCCATAAACAAAAATACCATATGATATCACTCGTATGTGGAATCTAAAAGAAAAAAAGAGGACACTAATGAACTCATCTAGAAAACAGACAGACTCGCAGACATAGTAAACAATCTTATGGTTACCAGGGAAAAGGGGGTGGGAAAGGATAAGTTTGGGAGTTTGAGACTTGCAAATGCTAGCCACTATATATAAAAAGATTTTAAAAAGCAAATTTCTTCTGTATAGCACAAGGAACTATATTCAATATCTTGTAATAACCTTAAATGAAAAAGAATATGAAAATGAATATATGTATCTATATGCATGACTGGGACATTGTGCTGAACACCAGAAATGGACACATTGTAACTGACTGTACTTCAATTAAAAAAAAAAAAACTTTGCTAATTGTGATGGCTTCATACTAGCATTGTTTTCAAAAGAGAAAATATATACTTAACAGAAAATAACTGTTACATCTTTTAAATTATTTATAATTTTTTAAAAAGTGATCTAGCCTTTTGTCAGATCTGATTACATTGCTGCTGTTTTGACCTCACAGTAGGGCTATAAAATGGGATTATTCTAGGAGTATGAAAAAGGGCAGCCCTGCTGTTATCTTTCTTTTTTTTTTTTTAACTTTTTTATTGATTTATAATCATTTTCCAATGTGTCAAATTCCAGTGTAGAGCACAATTTTTCAGTTATACATGAACATATATATATATATATACATATATATATATTCATTGTCACATTTTTTTCTCTGTGAGCTACCATAAAATCTTGTGTATATTTCCCTATGCTTTACAGTATAATCTTGTTTATCTATTCTACAATTTTGAAATCCTGTCTATCCCTTCCCACCCTCCGCCCCACTGGCAACCACAAGTTTGTATTCTATGTCTATGAGTCTATTTCTGTTTTGTATTTATGCTTTGTTTTTTTGTTTTTGTTTTTGTTTTTTAGATTCCACATATGAGCGATCTCATATGGTATTTTTCCTTCTCTTTCTGGCTTACTTCACTTAGCCCTGCCATTTTCTTGTCATTCATTTGTGCTTGCATGAGAAATACCTTCAATCTAGTCTCTTTGTAGGAATCTTTTTGAGGAACTTCAGCTATGCAGCAGTTAGGTGAAGCCAGGCAATGTAATCCATGTGCATCTGCATATATGCTGAAAAGGAACACACAAGTGAAGCAGGAAACTTCAGAGATTCTGTAGGACTTGTGGCCATCGTTGGCTCTGGGGTATGAAACTTGTACAGCCTCACAGGTCCCCACACTTGATTTAATGTTTGCTGTCACTGACTTGAAAATCTTTAATCATTTTTGAGGAAGGGAACTCGCATTTTTATTTTGTAGTGGGCCCTGCAAATTATGTAGCTGGTTCTTATCCAGGGGTCTTATAAGGGCATCCATATCAATACAACAATTAACCATTATTAAAATTCAAATTCTTTCTTAGTTTTAGTTAACAATAAGGATAAACAGCTAGCATTTTTTTCCTCCCACGTCCCCAGGTGTACACACGTGCATTGGTGATCAATGCTCTTGACATTGGTTGAGACTGGTTGGCTCTCGGATGGGGCTAGGAATGATTTCCTTCTGAAGTCTGGAGTCAGTCTTCAAATAAAAGCTGAAAAAATTTTGTCATGTTCTACAGCTTTGTCCCAAATTTGTCAAGAGTGCCTGTGAATAATTTCACACAATTTAGCATTCAACATATGCTATAAACTTCATACGTTATGCTGGCTTAACTGGCCAGAGGAGAATGTGGCAGGTTGGGTAGGGGAATAGAAAAAGCATGAGTTTTGGAGTCTGAGAATTGAGTTCAGATGCCAGCCCTGCTAACTGCTGGCTTTGTGGCTCTGCTTAATGAACCTCTCTGAGCTATTTCTCCTTTGTAAAGTAGCTGTGTTGTACTTTTCATGAGTTTATTGTCAGTAGTAAGTAAGAGAAAGTATCTAAAGCACTAAGCATGGAGTAAGTGCCCAACATGCCACAAATGTCTGACATGAGCCTGCTGGAGTCCCTCCTTGGGGAAGAAGTGGTGCTACTGCAAAGCTCTTTCACCTGACTTAGTTCCCAGAAGCGAAGCTCTTTACTGTCTTCGTGATGC